GGGAATTATGAGAATTCATCCAATAAATAATGCAATTAATCGAAACGATTCCAATGCTGTTCTATTTGAGAAAACATTTTTCATTAGTTAAAAGGGATTATGTTTTAATAACATTTTATTTCAGTCTTTTTCAGAGTTTGTAGACATTAAAAAATATCTACTGATCATATTGGACAGGCATTAAGGTACAGATTCTGGAGGTTTATTTGTATTTACTGCTTATTTTTCGGTAGGATATCACGGTTAAGGAGCTAGTTTTGTAGACATATTGAATAGTGTGTTCAATATTCATCAGGTATCTATGGCTTTGTGCTAAAACTGAGGTACTTTTATTATAGATATGTATTTCTAACTATATATATATATATATATATATATATATATATATATATATATATATATATATATAGAGAGAGAAAGGAGAGGGAAAGAGAGATAGGTAAGACATGTAGATAAAGTAAAATTGAATAAATAAATAACAATCATTGCATTTATCACGAGTTCTGTTAAAGTGTTCAAAATAATTATCTGCTTCGTATGTTTTTTTTGAAAACTCGAGATGAGTTTTGTTTGGTCAGTTCTGTTTTAGTCTTATTTAAGAATATTCAATCAATGCCACATTACCCCAGTTTGGATGGATAACAGAGTAAACAAAATGCGACTTCAAAAATAAATCCATGACTGCAGAAAAAGAATGATTGCATCATAAATCAATTTCACAAATTGAGACAGGCTAAAATTGAGACACAATGGCTAAATGAAAATGGACATTCCAAAGAGATATTTTGTCCAAATATACATTGCCTCTCAGCTTATGTCCAATTGTCCAAGCACGATTAATCTCTATCTTTCAATAGTAATCTTCATTTGTTTTATTTGTGATCTATCCTCGCTAACCGTTTTAGCCAGTTAGGGTTCCTTTTGAAATTTGCTTTATAGGTAATCATTAGGAATCTTCAACTTCAAGAAGCTAAGCGTTGCTTCAAGAAACAGTATAGAAAAAGTGATAAACATCGACAATCTACTTGCTGATTGACTCAAAATCTAAAGAGAAAAACGCTTGGGCGATTCTTTTACTATCTATGTTTACTTTTGATTGCCGATATCATAGACCGGTTTCTTTTTAAAAGTAGTTTGCTTCTGGGACAAAATAAGAGTTTTATTTCTTGAATTGCCTTCTTCTTATAATATATTTTCCTCTTTAATTGATTTGCTGTTTGGTAAAATTCTTTAACAAGTTTTTTGCTTGAGATTAGATATAGAGGAAGCTTTTTCTTAGAAAGTTATTGCGCATGTTACATTGAGATAATTTTGGTTTGTGATCATACCATTTTTCCGTATGGAGAAGGTTATAAAATTGGCATATCTTCCAATGCGAATATTTACCTAAACAGTCATGTTTATATTTAAATGTGTTTGTGGCTAGGGTAGAACACCCAGATATTAGATGGGCAATAGTTTGCCCAACGTTTGGATCTGTCTTATTCATCAAAGTATGTGCCTGGTTGTTGTCAGATCTTTTAATTTCACCCTGGATCTCCAAAACCACAGTTAGGTCAGATTTTTGTCACCACAGATAGGTCAGATTTTTATCACCATCAGGATTTGGTGCTCGCAATAGGTTTAAACCCTGTAAACCCTTTTTCTTCTCATTGGTTTTCAGATAAGTTAGGTATTAATTTTGGGATTTTTATTTAATGTTGTTGGCCACTACTTTTAGTATTTTATATCCTGTTAAATCTACTATACAACTGTAGATTTTGTCTAAAGTTTTAGCTTTCTTTTGAAAAGTGAGTAGAGATTTCTGTTGAATTCAGTCTGGCAAACAAGTTTTAGCATACAATCTTTAGTTAATTCAAAATAAATTTGAAGTCATGGTTGTGGTCTTTATTTGTGTGTTTCAGTTTTCTACTTCCATCTAGGGAGGTGCATCCAATTTGCATCTGATTTGAGATGATGAAGATTATCCATGGGAAAGACTTTTAGATTCTGCTATTTTTGGCATCTCTTCTATATTCCAATTAATCACATTGAATGATTACGCAATAACATATATTCCTAAAGAATTAATAGTTTCAATGTTATATTTTGCATTTAATTTTATAGATATTACTCATCAAAAACATTATTTTCTAAAGTTTTATTTCATTTTTACTTGTTGGATTTTTGGCCTTTATTTATACCAAGTTGTACTTAATCTTGAAATTGCTAATGTAACCATAAAATCTATGCTAATTTTTCCTTCTGTTGCATTTCCCGCTGGTGAAACTCTCTTTCGGTTACTTGCTTTCCTCTCAACTGTGATCGCCAAAAATGAAATGCAACCTCAATTGTCATCTTCTATTTTTTAACCTGTTCTTTTATTGTCCTTTCTCTTCAGTAACATTTTTTTTCAGTTTCTTTCGTCCTCAATAACTGCTTGTGTCGTTGTATCTTTATTAATTTGTTTGGAGAGAAATGATTAAGCAAATATATAAATACGCTGTTTTAATTCACGAATATACCATATTTTTGTCAGTTTAATATCAGTTGTTCGTAGTAATTTTTAAGGTCGCATTATCACATTTTTCTGGAACAAATTCCATAAAGATATCACTGATTTTTTTTATTGTTATTTACAAACCTAATTCGTTATCATTTTTCGAAATCAGTTTTAAGTGATCCGTGTAGAATAAGTGATTAATAAATCAATAAATTTATCTGATAATCATGTCTTATTTCATTTGATAAATGTCATAGTTGGATTGAGATTGTATAACAATAAAAGTGAAATGGAATTTCCTTAAAATATTTCTCACTTGAAATGTAACTCGTTACATTTGATTTTAACATTAGGATGAATTTTAGATTAAAGTAGTTTCACCCTTTTCAAACTGGATTTTAAAAAAATGAACGAAAAGTGGAAACTGTTTTATTAATGTTAATGTTTTCTATGCTCCTACTATGAGAAATTGGAAATCTAGAAGAGATGCCAAGAATAGACGGATCAAAAAGTCTTTACCATGGATAATCTTCATCATCTCAAATCAGATGCAAATCGGATGCACCTCCCTAAAACTGAAACACACAAATAAAGACTGCAACCACTTCACTTAGGTGTAAATAACCTCGGGAAAGATAAGAATCCCTCTCCCCCAGATATGGGTTAAATAGTAGATTTTTATCTGGAAAAATAATTGTTATTCTAATATAAATTTTTTAATTTTTAAAGTATTCACTCACAAAAGAGAGTCTTACAATCCAAAATATGTTTCGGCTTTTAAAAAACCCACAAAGGGTTGATAAACTGTAAAAAACAAGTCAATCAATGTTTATAGTTTATCGTATTCAATTTTCTACGTGGGATTTTCATGCTAATATCTTGTTGATCTAACATTATCTTTTGCACCTATAACAACCTTTCTTACAACCGTTTTGCTCTTCGGAGAAAATGATATTTCTGTCAAGGAACTGATATAATCATTCAGTTAAGTGATGTTAATAATGTGTAGGTTGCGGACAAGCAAGTAACTGGTCGGTATGATTGGGTGCTAGCAAATTATCGATATTCGGAATTAAATATGTAATTCCCTGGGTCATCTATTCTGGGTTCTGGATTGTTGATGGTATGAGAGAACAGATTTATTAAGGTTTTCTATATGGATGCAAATAGATTTAGCCAGAAAGTAGGTATTTTATTTGTTTTTATGAACTTTGTGAGAGCCAGTTGTATTCCTTAATATCTATGTTGTTTAGTCCCTGTTCCTTTGTTTCTTTGTATTTCTGTCTGTGGTTTTAATCAATTCTGCATCCTTTTTATAATTCTGTTTATTTCCTCGTATCTTATTCCAGAATTTTCATAATTCTTCACATAAAGGTGTTTTTTTTTATTTAGTGTTTAATATTTTTCCGATTTTCCTGAAGAATTTTTTGTTATATTTAAAAATGTTATTTTGTTTGTAAAATTTACTTCTTTCTTCATATCTTCTTTGTCTATGTGTTTTACCTGCAAACCTTGCTTTAGTATCGCCTTTGTAATTGGTATGTCATTTATGTGATATATATGCTTTATTATCTTCTAGTTCAGCAAATTTTTCATTTGCCAATCGTTTCACTTTAAGCGTCTGTATTTTTCTTGATATTCACAGAATTTTCTTCTTCCTATTCAGATTAGTGATGCTGCCTTCTAAAGGATAGTATATAGCATATACACGTATGACCTACTTATAATCCTCTCTATTTTCTTCTTTCTTTTAATCTGTAGTAGACTGTTCTTGAGGTGGACCATTATTTGGGGGTTATCAGTATTCATTCTCAGTATTTGGCGGATTAGTATCAGCAGCATATTTTTCAACGTCAGGCTAGTCTGGCAATTTGAGGGGATATAACGGCCGATGCAGGACCAGTTTATTATTTGTTTCATTATTAATTGATGAATTCTTAATAATATAATTAATTATAACTCTAGTAAAATGCCCGTATGCGCAAAAATGTCTCTAATGTTTATTATTTTAAGGCATATATATACCTTAAATTCTTAAATCGTCATTTAAATATAAATACCAAATTATTTTATTTCTAAACTATTATTAGGATATTTATTCTTGATACTGAACCATTTTTAATTGAAGTTCCATAGAAGAAGCAGAACTGCAACTAACACAGTAGATTGACATTAGTTTGGTTGGGAGGATCATCCCGCATTTCTCTTTATTTTTCCTGTTTTTCCCTTTTATTTCTTTAGCCGTTTTCTTTACTTCTTCCAATTCCTTATTGCCACACCCCATCTTTATTTATTTCGGTCACTGTTATAAAATAGGTGTAAATATACCCTTTATCTATTAATCCAGTACTTCTTACTGCCCACTCGTATGTATTTATCTCTCTCTGACACTAACCGAAACACAATCATTCCTTGTTGTTTGATGCGATTGCCATTGATAACGTTCACTTTTGTATGCTGACCCGGGTGGATTTTTAAGCAACAATTTATGAAAGCCTTGAATAGATTTCGTCCATTTTTAAAGGTGTATTTGTTCATCGAAGTAAGTGAAGTAAATTGAGCAAAATGAAGATGGTAGACGTGAAAGAAAAGGGAGAAAGTGGAAGAGAAGGAAAATGGAGATAAGGTTGAAGATGGGTGCGAATGAAAAGGGAATGAAAGAAGAAAAGTGAGAGAAAAATAAAGACAACGAATGCGAATCAGAGGGAAAGAAGAAAGAGAAGAGAAAGAGGTAAACGATTGATTTGATTGGGAAAAATGCGAAAAACACGAAAAAGTGTGAATTTAAAATAAAAAAAACTTTGGGATAGAAGGCCAATTTATAAAAGAAGTTCAAACTGCTGCTTAGGAGCCATTGGAAATATCGAAATAATAGATTAACAATAAACAGGAATACAAATCTTTGGTTCCGTTGGCTGGGTGAATAGATGAGCAAATAAGTGCATGCGCGCGCACAAACGCACACATAAGCACACACATATATCTCTCTCCCTCTCTCTCTGTCACACACACACACACACACAATCATGATGATGATGTAAATAGTGCATTGAAATATTAATAGAAAACGATCAAACGAAAAAAAAAACGTTTCAATATAACATACATGGGTCGTTTGGTTTTGTCTTTCAAGAATACGTGTATTTTCTCGAATCACTACCCACTAAATTGACCCTTCTTCCAATAAAACGCCACTTCAATCTCTTTAGCTTCTTTCTTTTATTTGTTTGTATTCACTGAAAATTAACCGAATTTTAGGCTAACCAATCAAAGCAAGAATATTTTACTAGTTAGAAAATTTAAAAAAATAGAAAAATGACTTGTCAAAATCTACTTGCCATTAAACTTTTTGCATTAAGAACCAAAATGCCGTCAATAATTTTCTTAATATTTCGATGATAATTTGTGCTATCTTCAAACAAGTAATTTTCTGATAGTACTGTGATAAAACATCGAAATATTTGAAAACTCTATCCAGGTTTGTATTTTGAAGATATTAATGACATCATCATCTGCTAGCGCTATGTTTTTAAATAGTTTTCAGGTTCTTTTGAGGTTTATATAACAACTTTTTGGCCGCTGCACTCTTCCGCTTTTACTTTTTTACTTAGTCAATTCATGTTTGCATTGGTTCATGTATTGAATAAACTCGCGAACCTCAGGTAGCAAGATGAAGTTACAAATGCTTCTAGACAAAAAAACCACACCCCATAACACCATAAATGGAAGATCTGATAACAAGTCTAAATATCAGAATTGAAATAATTTCATTGACAAAGAAGAATCATTCACTCTAATCCTGTGAGATATCTCAGTATGTCAACATTTGAGATTTTTACTTTAAAACGGATACATTTTTAAGCGCTTAGTTTGATGAGGAATGAATCTCATGTGGTAAATATTCGTTCAATTTCAAGTATTTTAACAATACACTACTATCACCTAACGGAAATGTTTTTGCTAAAGATTCTCTCGTAAAATCTATTTGCGCTACAAGCAAGATGGTTGCTCATGAATTTCTTTCTTTTTCCTTAAGTTTTTCTTTTCAGGAAGTTATTCTAAAAAATCTAAGATAATCCATTTTTTCTTTATTGAGATAAAACAGGTGTCTATTTTTTCATTTACATTGTCAAAAAATAATTTCATTGACATTCCTTTTAGTATATTTCTAATGTCATTTTTTTCATTCAACAAAAAATACCGGTCAGTTGACCGAGATAGCCGACTTGAAAATAATCGAAATTGCAAGAACATATGTTAATAACAATCTTTCTGACCAAATAACCCTGGAAAATGTAACATTTCTCGATTACAATTACCTTGACCTGTTGTTCATTTAACGAATAAATTATCTTTTATGGAGAGACTTTCAGTTTGTGTTCCCGACTACCGTAGTCATGTTATTGGAACACATCTCCTTTTCTCTACTCCCAAACCTGATCAGAGACTCATTTTGGTGCTTTTACGGTCAGTGGAAGCTGACAACAAACAACCCCTTATATTCTTTTCTTCAATTTGAATTATATAAGACGTGTGAATGTTGAAAGCGGTTAACAGCAAATACTAGAACAGAAAGGAAAATGACTTGATCAAATTATTATTGTTATCAAAAGAATGAAAAATAAACAAAAATATTTTCATATTCGATGACAAATGCACAAAATACTGAAAGAATATTTGTTTATTAATCGTTGCGTTAATAGAACTCCTCTTCCTTGGCTTTTGCATAACAGAAACTTTCTTTTTTTTTGTGAAAGCAAATTTGTTTTTCCATGAAACCTAAAGAAAACACCTAAAGTTTTCAAACTGTCTCCTCTTTTTGTAAACAACAACTTTGTATTGGTTGATTCAATTCGAACTGAAGGGGAAGTTGCATTAAAATAATTGGTTAAAATAGAGATTTAATTTAGAAATAAGTGTTATTCGAATTATCTTTCTCTGAAAATACTGAATCTTTTGATTTCTTCTTCAGAAAAATGCCATTAGCCAAGACTAAAAGTGAATGTTCATTTCTATTATTTTATAAACACTACACGAAACAATGAATCAGGAAGATTTACCCGTGCTACTGCTTAGGCTACACTAGAAAGTCTTCTTTCTCCATTAATGTGCGAAGAGCGAAACTTTGAAATATATTTAAAAGTAAAATATGTGCAATTAAAAAAAGTAAATGAAAATTCAACATAAATTCCTACATTACATGGTTGGGTAATATGTATCATTATTTTACTTAAAATCAAATTTTACAGGGAACTCACACGCCAATGCATTGGAAAACATACTTGTCTTGATAAGGATAATGAATTGGTTCCCCACTGGACACTGCATGACAACAACATTGCCTGACCAGAAGTTACCAAAATACAGCAACAATGATTCAGTCACAACATAAAATATTCATTTACTTTTAATTTTATAAATCGCGCTCTATGCACATCTCACAAATGAAATTACGCTTGCAGACAAATATGGGCCTGAAAAAAAAATTCCAAACACATTTTGGATACGAAGCTGTAACATTAAGTGGAGAATATTACAAGGTATTTATTCTGCAAACACCACACCATGTTGAATGCAAATGGATTACAAAATGCATTGAATGCTAATTGCATTATTACTCAAGATTTTGCTAAGAAATATATGCACTGAATCAGGAAGAATTAATAGATACGTGTTTTATTGAAATTGACCGATGTTTTGTACATTTTTGAGATTTTTCAGTTATAGATGATAAAGTCTTTATAATGACCCATCATTGTTGTAATTACTGGAAAAAAAAAACCCCAAGAAAACAACGATATGAATTTTGGATAGTTTCTTTATAAATTTGATGTCAATGTTCAACAGTTTATATCCAAACTGAAAAAATGTAATAAACATTTGACTTTACCGGTTGAAAAAAAGGTTGAATATATATATAAATATATATATATATATATATATATATATATATATATATATATATATATATATAAACACTAACTAGTCCTCGTAAAACTTATATAATAATGAGATCGAAGTTACTTATGACAATGGGAAATATTTATTTTACAGTGTTTGTTGACAATTAGAAGTTTCTTATTGTTATTATTCACAATAAATTCACAATTATTTGATTACAAGAAAAACTAAATAGATTAAATTTTTTCGTAGTAAATTCCCATTGAAAAAATACTATGTAGTCAGAAAAGCCATTTTTAGAGAAAAATTATTGTGATATTTTTTTCATAAATATTTTTCTTATGGGGCATGATAAAAGAATCATAATTCAAATGGTTACAAACGGTAATTGTTACTATAAAATATATTTCTGCATAGCAGAAAAGACGGAAACAAAAAGTCAAGACACTGTTTTTAATGTTAGACACGTGATCACATATTCAAACGCTCTCCCTATATTTCTTTCTCGTCCCCTCACTTTTTCACTTGTGTATGCTAGTTGCGTAGGAAAAGTTGTTTGAAATGCTACAAAAGTAATTAACTTGGTTCTGTATTAAAGGTTTAGGATCCAAGAGAAATTATCAATTTGAAGGAGTGATTTCGCCACTAACATAAAAAGATTATCTGGTCCATATCCTCATTGTCTTCTAATTTTTTTCTAATAAAAATTTAATGAGCTGAGATATATATATATATATATATATATATATATATATATATATATATATATATATATATGTAAGCAAATACATGGATATAGATCCGACAGTATGAAGAAAAACATACTGAAAAAAACAAACAAAAATCCTAATATGCGATTATGCTGTTTTAATGTTTAATGTCAACGTCGGACGTTTCGGTCTAATAGACCATCTTCTGGACATATTCACAAAACATAATTAACATAGACCATATACAATTAAACATGAAAAAGACGATGGACATAAAAGCAATACCAATCCAAACAGATAACTGAGATCAAAATAAAATTCTTTTCGTTTTTCATTCAAAATACTCAAATTTTAGGAATACGTTTTCACAACATCGCCCACGGGACGACGACGTGATCATATTTAAACGGAACGCTGATGTTATAAAAGATTTCAGTTATATGTTAATTATGTTTTATGAATATGTCCTGAAGATGGTCTATTAGACCGAAATGTCCGACGTTGACATTAAACATTAAAACAGCATAATCGCATATTAGGATTTTTGTTTGTTTTTTCAGTATATATATATATATATATATATATATATATATATATATATACACAAATGTGCATTTTAAAAACCACTATAGCCATATGATTCCAAAATAAAAATACTAAATTAAATGAAGCAAGGAGGTAGATTGTTGAGATAACGCCTGGAAGTCGTTACGTCAAAATTTCCTTTGCTTATTCGGTTATGATCATAGGTGAAAAGTAACCTATTAAAATAAAGTTTTAATAAAAAAAATGCGGAATGCTAAAATCAAGTGAATATCTTTCTGAAATTGTATTTGTAACTCACATATATCTGAAGATTGTTTAATCAAAAAAGCTCATATATATATATATATATATATATATATATATATATATATATATATATTTGGCAGCATGTTTTCATCAAAACATGTATTACTGAATAATTTAGACACGTTTTGTCTACTCATTTTCAATAGGATCCTCTCGTATTCACGGACAAGCTTCTTAGTATCCTCATTAAAGGAAAAGAGAACGTTACCATGTTGATGCGTATTCATTTATTCAGAGTACTTTCGACATTAGCACAATGTCATCATCAGGTTGTTTTTTTCTAAGACAAAATTGTTGTGTTCATCTGAAAGTTTAAATTATTTAACTGTGAAGTCA